ACTAGCTTCGGAACAACACCTCTCAGAAACTTAGGGTGATTCTTGTAAATATTAACTCAGATTTGGGGTCTTGAGGAAGAATAAGCCCGTAAGAAATCCAATATACTTATAGTATACTTATGTTTCCAGTTTCTAGTGTACTGTGTTGTATGTTTCTACTACATTGATGTAGTGTATTTCCGGGACAGGTTTGCAGCGCTTTGAGACAAGTGTGTTCTTTGAACTTAAGATATTGCAATTAGAGTGATCGACATGAACGCAATTTCAGTACTTGTCCATAACATACAGTTAGTTGATGTCTGTGGAGGCATTGACTGAGTTTTCGATGCTTGTCCTACAAGGAGAAATATTTATCGCCTAATGCCAAAGTATCCTAACAGGAAATGAGGTCAACGATGGTACGAACAACAGAGATTCCTGCTTGGGCTCCCCTGTGCCAGAGCCACCACCTGTGGAATGACTTCATTATTGGTTTTGATCAATGTAATTAACAGAACTGCCACAGTCGTATGTTAGCAACATGGAGGGAATCTTTGCATTCATATTTTACATGATGAGTTTAATATTTTATGTTAATACCTACTTTTCAATGTGATTTTTCATCATCATTTACATGCAGTGTCATTCCTACTAAGACAATCTGGCTAGTTTTCACTCACTTATAGAGGATGGGATGTGTGTGAGAGAGTGTGTGTGTGTGTGTGTGTGTGTGTGTGTGTGTTAAGCCAGAATTCTGCACTTTCTAAAAATGGTAGAGAAAGCTCTGACTTTCCTGTCTGAATCCTTTGGGCCCCAGGCCCAGGATATGCCTTCTCCTGAGCTCCAGTCCAAGTGCAGGTGTCCCAGGTGTGAGGGGGAAGCTTCTGCCAGCTGGGCTGTGAGCATTTTTTCAAGAGATCCAGCACTGTTGAGTCCTCAGCCACGGGCCGAGCCAGTGGGCACCGCACAGTTGCAGCTGGCGGCATGTGGACCAGGGCTTCTAAAGATGGCATTGAGGTGGACAGGCAAAAGTAATTCCAGCCGCTTCCCCGGTAGAGAACAGGTGAGAACTTGGCAAGCCCAGCTCCCTGACAGGAAGCAGAAACCTCTGTGGAGCGTGGTCAGCCCCGCCTTGCCTACTCCACGGTCCTGTCCAGACGGTGCAACCAGGCCATGTGGAGTTATAGGACGCAGACCCCAGGAAACTTCATTCTCAGGCTTTCTGCTGTCATCCTTGGCCTTCACGTCATGCTGGCATCGGGCTGCCCAAGCGGACCTGGTTTGAAGACGCCTGGCCAGCCTCATTCTTCAGTTCCATTTTGCAGCAGAAGCACTGCCTGTCCCTTCGGCCTGGGCTCTATTTTCCACATGTGTCGTCCTGGCTAGTTTCCGCCACCCGTAAAGTCCTTTTCATCGCATCGTAAATCTAAGGGAGGGAACAAACCCACACAACAAAACCCATACACTTTAAGGTCATGAATTTCTGTCGGATGCGAGGGAAGGGAAGAAAAGTTGATTTGGATTTGGAAGACATTGATTCACTAGGCATTTGTTGATTGACTTTGGTGTTTTGCCCTGTGCCAGGAGCTAGGGAGGCCACAGCCATCTTTGCTTCCTGGTGCAAAATCCTTGGGTTAAATCTCTTTTTCTAAAGTAAAACTGACTTCTACTCTAAGAGGAGACATTTCTGGACCTGCCGCTTAGCTGTCCTTGGGTGCACAGAGTGGGGAAGAAGGGGTGCGTCAGTGTCCTTCTTAGTGACTCATTTGATGATGACTCCATTGTTTGAAGGACTGGATGTTACATAATCATCACTTTATCCCCCTCTTCCTCCCCCCCCCCCACCAACAATCTGGGATTTTCCATCATTTTGTCAACCTTCCTGGAGGCATGTTGATTTTTCCACTAGATTTAGTTGGGCATGTCCCAGGGCAACCCAAACTCTCCACTCCCTGGAACTTGAGAGTCCCACTCCCTGGCGGGGGGTGGGGGCGCCGGGGGAGAGTCCCACTCCCTGGCAGGGCCTGGGCCTCTAGGGCAGGGGCCGGACAGCGTTGCTCAAGGCCACCCGGTGGGAGAGCGCCGCCTGTCCTTTCTTAGAGCACATTTCCCTTCCTTTTGACGTTCAGAAGCAGCACATTTGCTCCTTTTTTAAGCAGTCACCTTTTCCCTCATCACGTCCATTGCACACAGCCAATAGCACATTATATATGCCCGTGGAATTTGTGACTCGCCAGGGTTCAGAGGTGGTTCATTGAGGAGCTTCTACCACAGCCGTGCGTGGGACTCGCCATTGTGTGAGCCATTTTCACAGGGCAGGCTGAAGATACAGCCTGGAGAAGGGGGCTCGGGGAGTCCCTGCAGCAAAATGTTACAGTGCCTGAAGGTCACAGGGTGGACGGTTAGTAGGAATTCTCATGTCATTTCCCTGCTTATAAACTTCTTATGGGAAACTGCACCCTAGGTGAATTCAGAGGATTTTAAACTTGAGCCATATTTATGTGTTCTTGCTTTGAACATGGTCTGCAAACACAAGAAGAAATGAACATAGAGGAGATAAAGGTGCACGCGGGGATCATGAAGAGTGACACATTTGTGAATCTGCAGGTGTTGATACCTCCTTCACCTTTACTACCTCCACAAGTTTTACAGATATCACCTGCTATGCGTACTTCAGATCTGTTTACTTATACCGTGTGCATTGCCCCCGTCCTGGTCGAAGCCGCCTCATCTCTCGCCGCAACTGATGCAATAGTTTTTTAACAAGTCTACCCACATCCATTTATAGTTATCTCCCCAACAGGGCAGCTAAGGTGATCGTCTTTCCTTTTTTTCCCATTTTTTTAAAAATGTGGTAAAAGAAACATAGCCAAATTTGCCATCTTGAGCATTTTTAAGTGTACAGTTTTGTGGAATGTTGTACTTCCATCCCTGCCGCCCATCTCAAGGGCTCTTTTCATCTTCTGAAGCTGAAACTCTGTCCCCGGTAAACACAGCTCCTCACGCGCTTCCTTCCCGCTGGCTGCCTTTCTACGTTCTGCTTCTATGAATTTGACCCTTCTAAGGACCTCATAGAATTTGTCTTTTCATGACTGGCTTATTTCACGTAGCATATGGTGAAGGTTCATCCATGTTGTATATGTCAGAACTTCCTTCCTTTTTAAGGAAGGAAATCCTACTGTATTGTATTAATAATATAGTATTGTGTGTATATGTATATGTATATACTACATTTTGCTTATCTATTTATCTGTTGATGAACACTTGGGTTGCCTGCGCATTTTATATACTGTGAATAATGCTGCAGTGAACATAAGTGTACAAATATCCTTTTGAGGCCCTGCTTTCAACTCTTTTGGGTAGCTAGAGAACACCTAAGACTCAACACCAACAGCAAAAACCCCAAATGACTCTATTAAAAAAATGAGCAAAATGCTTGAATAGACATTTGTCCAAAGATGATACAAAAATGGCCAATGAGCGCATCGAATGCTCCACATCATATCAAAAGTAGTGTGACACCACTTCACTTCCATTAGGATGGCTACCTTCCCCTTCCCCTCCCCCAAGAACACCCCAGACGGTGGCAAGGGTTGGTAGGATGGGGTATCTGTGTGCACTGTTGGTGGGAAATTGAAATCATGCAGATACTTTGAAAAGTTAGAAATAGAATCACTGGAAGGTGATCATCTTAATGGAGTCATGTTGTTCCTCTGCATAAAACTTTCAATGACTTGGTATTCTACTGAGGATAAAACTAGAAGTTCCTTAATATACTCCTTGTTTACCTTTTTAAAAAAATTTTGTGTATTGATTTTTCTGAGAGAAAGAGAGAGAGACATCGATTTGTTGTTCCTCTTATTTATGCATCCATTGGCTGATTCTTGTTTGTGCCCTGACCAGGGATCCAACCCTCAACCTTGAGGGATGGGCACAGCGCTCTAACCAACTGAGCTCGCTGGCCGGGGCCACCCTCCTTTACCTTTGCAGCCTCATCTCAAGCAGCGGTCGTCCGGTCACTCTGCTGCAGCTTCAGATCTTGTTGACACTAAAATAAGCCACATTTCCTCTCCTCCCCACCTCATGGCCTTCTTTTATGCTGTTTCCTCTTTCCAGGATCATGGTCCCCGCCCTTTAGTGGCCATTAGGGTCACCTGGATTCCGTGTTAAAAGCACAGGTTCCTGGGCTCTCCTCCTGACAGGTTCTGATTCACCTAGTTTGGGGACCACACATTGAGGACTGTCGATCTAGAGTATTTTTCGTTTTCAAACTCCTATGCATCTTTTAGGTCTCAGTCAAACGTCTCTCTCCTCCTAAGGGAGGCCTTCTCTGAGTTCTCCAGACCAGCTGGAATTGCTGTTATATGTTACCATGTTATCTTTTACCTCTCTTCTGAGGCCCTTATTAGCATTTTGAACATTTAATTGTGTAACTAGGTTTTTAATGACTGTGTCTCCTGCCAGAATCTGATATCCAGCTTCATGAGGATAGGGATTATTTTTATCCGCTTATTGATGTCTCTCTAATTCCTTGCACATAGCAAGTGCTAAGTAATTGTTTGTTGAATGAATGAATGAACATTCTTATTTCCTTTTCATAGGTAACTAGAGGTACATGGTAACATTAATACTCTGAATTATGAGGAACAGTAGGAACTATGAGGGAATTAGTAGAGCTATATGGAAAGAATAAACATACTTCATCAAGGGTGTAGGACATTCTAGGCAAGAATCAGGTTTTTTGAAGGGGCCTGGGACACTCTGGAACCTTCTGTCCATTGTACCTGTCCTTGTGAGGATGTCAGTACAGTCACTTTTCAGTTTGCCTTCTTTACACCATTCATGCCCTATTGTGGTTCATGGGTGGTCAATTACCTATGTAGTTTTTTATAAAACTGAGACATAATTGACATCTATTATTAGTCTTGGGTGTTTATTATAATGACGTAATACTTGTGTATATATTGCAGAATGATCTGTCGCCTATCTGGTTTTTATTATTCGTATGTTTTTTCTTACAGATATGGAATGTGCGGATGTCCCGCTATTAACTCCAAGCAGCAAAGAAATGATGTCTCAAGCATTGAAAGCTACTTTCAGTGGTTTCTCGAAAGAGCAGCAAAGACTGGGAATTCCAAAAGGTATGCTTTGTCCGTGAGAGAGAGAGGTCAGGATCAGCCTTTTGGGTCCGGTCAGTCTTCTCCCCTGCACGGTGAGGTAGGCGTTATTGCTGACCACACTTCGGTCAGCAGCTGCGCGTCACTGAGGATGTCTGTTAGGACAGTCCTAGACTCGTGAGGGTGCCCCTCCATCTCCCATCTTGGTCTTAGGACACTGGCTCCCAAACTTGTTTGCACACGAGATTCGGGATCTTCAAAAAACTCCTTCGCCCAGGCCCTGTCCCAGACTCATTAAGTCATAATTAATTGCTGGTAACAGTATCTTTGAAGCTCTTCACGTGATTCCAGCAGACAGACAGTTTGGAAAAAACACAGTTTTCGTGTCATTCTGGGCTACCATTGGGTGAACTCAGTGAGCTCCATTTCTTGGAATTTACTGATTGCTCTTTTCTCTACATGCACTGTGGTGAAATGTGTTTATTCTTGGGTGTTCTCCTCTGAAAGGGTTTATTCAGGAATGTAAGGGGACTAGAGTTGTCAGAAAGGAGAAATGACTGGAGAACACTTAAGCCTTCACCAAGCAGCATTTCCTGAATAGCTGAGAGCAGAAAGAACACTGGGCTATTGAGTAAGAGGGATGCTCTCTGGAGAGCGGCCTGAGAGGCTCCCCACCCCGTCAGAACTGAGCCTTACACGGAGCCTGGGGCTGCATCTCCACACCTTTCCCCAGGAGCACCCTCTCCCCAAACCCCTGCGGACAGCAGCGTCCCGCGTTCTCCTAGGAGCACAGACAGGATAAGGCTGAAGTCTGCCCCACTGCTCACAAAGTCACCTGCTAAATGGAAGGAGGTCACCTGGAGAGCAGGTGTGATGTGGGCATTGCGACCTGCCCTCCTCTGAGCTCTCTGAGTGTCGTGGCTGGTGTCGCAATGTTCAAGCTTAGGGCCTCGCATGCAGATTATGTTCTGTCAGTGCTGAGGGGCTTGGCAGCCAGGCCTGTGATGTGTACATACTTTGCATGGTATCTAGGAGAGCACAGGTACCTGATGATGTTGTTACTAAGCACCATTTGAATGACTTACTATAACTAATTGTTATGATTATTACCAACCATAATCAGCGAAGAGAAAAATAATTAAGAATAGTAGACTCAAGTATACTGTAAGAATTAAGAGCAGGGAGAAGTGAGTGTCACCTCCAGGACACACTTGACTTAGTTATTCCTAAAGAAGTCATTTGTTCCTTGCCCTGAGCTTTAAAAAAAAAGTTCTAATGGAAATCAGGCAGTGAGACAGGAGACAGTGTGGAAAGTTGTCTGAACGAGGGCAGAGAGTGCTCATGTGTTGCCTTTCTTGGCCGATGTCTGCTAGAACATTCCAGCTGGCAAGATAGAGCAGGTGGGGATGTTAGATGCAGGGAGGAGGAAGGTGCCCCACAACATGCATTTACAAGCTGGTGCTTCCCAGTTCTTGAAATCAGAGGACATCCTCAGCTACGTTCGGTCCCTTTCGGGTCCCGAGGCTCGGGTCGGAGCTCACGCCTGACTTACTGGGTCTTCATTTGCTCTCTTCCCTCAGACCCCCGGCAGTGGACAGAAACCCATGTTCGGGACTGGGTGATGTGGGCCGTGAATGAGTTCAGCCTGAAGGGTGTGGACTTCCAGAAGTTTTGCATGAACGGAGCAGCTCTCTGTGCACTGGGGAAAGACTGCTTTCTTGAGCTGGCCCCAGACTTCGTTGGGGACATCTTGTGGGAACATCTTGAGATCCTGCAGAAAGGTAAGTCTGTGTGGCTCGAGGGAGGAGGAGGCTGGGTGGGGTAGCTGCAAGAAGAGGTGGGCGGACACGGGTGCCCAGTGGTGGGGCCTCGGTCCCATCATCCACGGGTGTCCTGTCACAGCCTGTGTGGTGTAAGGAGATAGGCCAGTACAGGTGCTCCGTAAATGTTGGTTTCTTTTGCTTCTGTGTGTTGGAGGTTCAGATTTTAATCTTTAGCAAGATCGTACTCCTGAAGCTTGTTGGTACGCACAACTGCGATGCCAGCCCTTCTCTCGGACCCCTGGCTGTTTCAGTGGGCGGTGCCTGCAGCCCGCTCCAAGGTTTTTTATTTTTTTTCCCCCCTGGTGATCTCAGCGCACGCTGCCTGCATTCTTTAGTACATGGCGATTCCCAGCCATTCTCGGAGGTCAGTAATAAGACGGGCGGCTCTGCCCACTCGCTGGATTGGAGGTGTAGGAGTGTGCTGTACCTTTTTCATCCAGAGCAGAAACTGGGGTTGTGTCAGGACACTGTGTCGCAACCTGGTAATGGCACGGCCGCCCCTACTAGTCTCCTCCAACCTTTTTGGACCAAGTGACTCATGTACCACAGTCCTGGCTGAGTATAGAAACAGCAGCAGGCGGCAAACTTGGGTGTTTTTGTGCTTATTTTTCTGAATTTCTTCTTAAAATAAATTGCAGTTACCAGCAGTCAGCAGTGCCCTCCAGCTGACTGTAAGCCTAGAAGCCCATTGCCCTCTGTGACCCAGGCCCACCCTTTCCCTGTGGTCACCAGCTCCAGCCCTTGGCACAGGCCCTGGGGACAGGGAGCAAAGCTCAGGATTAGCACTTTTATTTCATATAATACCTTCCTTTGTTTAAGGATATTTTCTGTGCTGCAGGACTCAAGAAGGACCCAAATTAGATTCTTCTGGGCACAGAAGTGTTATCTTTTTCCCTTCTCCTCAGCTTCTGCTGAAATATAAATAAATAAACACAGGCAAGAACTAGGTGACTTGCTGCGGCTGCCCTGGCGGAGCACTGGGGGCGGCCACACAGCCTTCCTGTAGCACCCACGTGTCCTCTGTGTCACTGCACGGGCTCCCACTCACTGCGCTGATGTGAGTGACCCGCTTAGAGAGGGAGAAGATACAGCAGGCTCAGGACAGGTCTGATGTGACCGACGGCCCATAAACAGGACATTGGATGCTGCCAGACTGTGCAACCCAGATACCATCCACCAATACCTGGTTTTCCTTTAGTTACCACCAGGGAGTGTCCAGGTGTTCTGGAGTGTCTAAACCTGCCTCTGAGCAGAGTTATAGTTAGTACCTACACAGCATCTCCTTGTTTTTAGAGCTCTTGAAGGGACATTTTCTCTTTGGATTCTCACAAACATCCTGAGAGACAGGAAGGGCAGGTACTATTAGGGCCCGTGTCTGTCAAGGGAAGACAGCTAATGTATTTTCCTCAACATCACTCATTTTCTTAAACCTACGTCTTTTCCATTTAAGTTCCTGCCCTGTGTTCTTTGTATAATAACATGGACTCATGGGAGAGCCTCTGGTCCCCACACAGGTTTGGCCTACCTTCTTGCAGAAGAATAACTGAAGAGGCTGTAGGAGCATTAGGACATGGTTGAGTACATTTGAGAGTAAAGTCATATCATCTCACCCTTTTTCTGTTGAAAGAGACAGTGAGGATCATCTGTCTTCAGATCCTTGAAGAGCTGAGCAAGATGTTTGCAGTGAGGCTACAGATTTGGTTCTGTAATTACACCAAAGCAACACAGTGCAGAAAGAACATAGCTGTTTGGGGTGGGGTAGAAGGCCAAAGGTACAGGGGGTGTTTCAATCTGATAAGCTGCTAAAGCAAAGTTTAATCATTTTATCTCAACTGGGAACTGTTTTTCTGTGCAGGCATCAACTTGTTTTCTCAGCAGCCTCTGCTCTCAACATGCTATCAAATACCTGAGGAAAAGATCCAGACCAACACTCTCTGTCTGATTCTGACAGTAAAATAGAATCTGACTACTCCATACTAGGGCTAGAGGCCAGATGGTTTGGTTCCAGGGTAACTGGAGGACCTGCAGGCTCCCCTTGGTCCTGTGGAGAGACTTTCTGTGTTCAGTCACCTCCATCTGCATTCCTTTCTCATTCCTGGGGAAGTTGGCAGCTGGACAGCAGTTCAGTTATGTTGCTGCTCTCTGTCTTTGCATGCACTGTGCCATATTTCACCGAATAGTTACTGGAATCTTGCTTCTTATCTGGGCCTGAATTTGAAATCTGAGGGCCATGGAAGAACCACTGACCAAAAAGCAAACATCTGTTAGGAAAAACAGAGGCTATCAAATCTACCTGCCTAAAGATTTTGATATATTTCTGAAGGTTTTAGAGCTGATCAGCTTGAGCACTGGGGACTGATTTTGGTGACTGGCCAAGCTGGCTACTAGCCTTTGATGCTGATGTGGTCCACACACCCACACACACATGAGAATGGGGGCAGGATGCGTCCCCAGCCCACAGAGATTACTCTCTGGTGCTCTTTCTAAGATATTAATCCCATTTTGCAGATACTGAACAAAGTAACCTCCTTTTGTGATCTCATCTCTAGACAAAGCCCCAGTCAGGGTGGACTCACAGACCGACTCAGTTAACGAACATGCAGCTTTCTTAGAAGAGGGGCTGAGGTCATTATGGTTTTTGCGTCCAAGATCCTTTCAGGCCAAGCACTTGCTTGTGTTGACCTCTCTGTTCATCCCTTACCCTGTCTGTTGCAGAGGACGTGAAACCATATCAAGTTAATGGAGTCAACCCTACTTACCCAGAATCCCGTTATACCTCGGATTACTTCATTAGTAAGTTCCCCTTCCACTCTCCTTCCCTCATCTTGCTCATGACAATGGGAACTGAGGAAAGGAACCCTCTCCCAGTTGAACTCAAGCTCCTTCATGGTAATTCTCTGGTAAACAATATCTTCCTAAACGCAGACTAGTTATTATTTATTTTATTTTTCCCACAAAGCACAACGCTTCCGCCTATGTACCTGTTTTATTGGCCTGCAAGCTCCTACACACTGGGATCTCTCTGATCTCTTGATCGAGAGCTGCACCTTGATTACTATTGAAGCTTATGTACTGAGGGGCCGTCCGAGGTCTGGGTTAGGGACTTGGTCATGACACTTGTCCTCTCCCCTTTGCTCGAGGACACGACAGCACTTCTTTTGGAGTCCCTCCTCAGGAGTGTGCCATGCAGCTTCCCATTCTGTTACAGAAAATACAGCCTCCTCCCTTCCAGCGTGTGCAGGACAGGTCCCCACCCTGCAGAGGTGGCCAGAGGAGGAGTTCGTGTTGGGCGCTTCTTCTCTGATGGCGCTGCTTCCAAAGGGGCTTTTAAGCAGCTTGGTTTTTGCCTTATTTTTTCACTTTATTATGACTTTTATTTTAAGAACTGCTACGTATTAAGAGATTATTTTGTGCCGGAAGTGGTGGGCATCTTATATATACGAGTAGATTCTTTTTTGATTTTTAGCACAACCCTCCAAGGAAGATTACGATCGTCCCCATTTTACAGTCAGAAAAGGGAGGGATCTTGCCAAAGGCCTTAACAGTTAAGAGGTGGAACAAGGTTGGGCTCCCAGGCCCTTGTCATGGAAAATATTTCCGTTTTACTCTCTAAGGTAGTCAGCTTGTTACACATTGTGGGGCTGCGGCACAGGGTGAAGAATTGCTGGGTTGGGTTCGCATGTCTCCCTTCTTTAATCTCCCACACTCTCTCTGTTCCAGGCTATGGTATCGAGCATGCTCAGTGTGTTCCTCCCTCGGAGTTCTCAGAGCCCAGCTTCATCACAGAGTCCTACCAGACCCTCCACCCCATCAGCTCAGAGGAGCTCCTCTCCCTCAAGTATGAGAACGACTACCCCTCGGTCATTCTCCGGGACCCTCTGCAGACAGACACCTTGCAGACTGACTACTTTACCATCAAGCAAGAAGTTGTCACACCAGACAACATGTGCATGGGGAGGACCAGTCGTGGTAGGTCAGATTTCTTCACTAGAACCTCTTGGTCTCCAAGGATTTCCTAACTCTGAGTGTTTCAGACCTCCTACTTCCCCCTCCCTCTTGGCCTTGTATACTCCTGAGGTTAATGCAGCCTTTTCCTTTTCCATCTTGAACTGTCTAGAGAGTAAGAGCTTTCCATCATGGAGTTTCAGCCAATGATGACAAAGACTGTGGGTTCACAGTGCACTTGAAATCTGTTGGGACGACCAATCACATTTTGTACTTGGGGAAGACATTTTACCAAGTAATAACTCTAGCCAAATGTGGTTGTTCTTTAAGTTATGCTTTATTTTTATTTACCTATTTTTTGAGAGGGCTTTGCTGAAGGAGGACGCAATCGCATAAAAACAGTTCACGTGACCCACCTGGAAAGCTCTTAGTTTTGTGTGCGCCCTGATGTTCCCCAGAGCATTCTGGGTCAGGCTGCAGAATCTGCCTAGGTGTCTGAATGACATCTGCTGCTCAACCTGTGCTCTCAAGCCTCCTGTGACTTCTTTGGTTTGGAAGGCTACAAGACGGTTACCCAATAGTTTATTTGGAACTGGTCACACCAGTGTCGTGGAAGCGTGTATTCAGCTAGAGGGGCCAGGAAAGAGGCGGCCAGAGGCTTCCAAAACAAAGGTACTCTTGTTGGCATGCCTATATTGACAATGGTAAGATATTCACTGACAGTAAATGTTTCAGAATAGGTTGACTTTATAAAGCAACACACATTAAATACACTCAGTTTCTAAGATCTGGACATAACCTCCCAGAGGGGCAGCCCGCCTAGGAAAGTATGCAGATAGTTCTGTTTCTGAGAGAAATGCAGTCCATCATAAGGAGGGATTTGTCCATCCAGGGAGAGCTAGCTAATGTCTCAAAAAGGTGAAAAAAGATGACTGTTTCAATAGACAAAATAGCAAAGAATTACGAACAGGAAGAGGAACAGCAGAAAGCCCACTCAAAGGCTCAGAGGACTTTGTTTACAGGAGACAGACTTGGCTGGCCTGCTAGTGACTTCTGCTCAGTGATCACCCTGTTCCTTTGAGGCACTTGGAGGGGGGTGGTCAAAGGCATCTTTAATTTGGAGGATCACCCGTCGGCATCATGGGCCATCGACCTTGTTGTCCTCTTCCAGTGCTGGGACTCACACTTCCTCCCAGTGGGCCCCAGGGTGAGCAGCGGCCCTGTATAGGGAAAGTCCCTACCCAGATCAGAACCTGTAACCTTGCTGCTGCTGGCCCGAGGGTGTTTATGTTTCGTGCTGAAGGGGATGGGTGGGATCAGTTTGCCTTCCCCTTTCTGACTCTTTATTTTTGGATGCTTGTCTATTAAAATACTTACACAAATGTTCATGTGTCTCTCTTAAGCCCTCAGGCAGATCAGAGTGCTAGAGCGACTGTCTTTCTTGTGGCACTTTCTGTATACCTCTGTGATGAGCTGAGCCTGTGAGTTTGGGGCTCAGCCATGTTGTACTTTTGGACAGATCTGTCATGTGTTTTTACATTGTGTCTGGCTTTGCATTTGTGTAATTGTCCCCTGGTCTCCTTCTCTTGGTTTTTGTCCCCACCCTCCCTCCAACCCCAAATTAATAACCATGGAGCAGATAGCAACCTGAACAAAGGGACAGGAGGTGCTTCGCTCTGGCTTCATTCTGCGTCCCTCACACGAGCCTCAGCCTACGCAGACTTTGAGGCACAGACTGCGCCGTGTGCGGCTACTTTCTGCGTGTCAGCCGTGCAGCACACGGGACCTATGTCAAGGGCTGATTGACTCTCACGTGGTACGATTGGTCTAGATGGAAAACATTACCGTCAGCTGAGCATTAATAAAATAATATTTATACAGTGCATTGTAGCACACAAAGTGCCCCTCTGTCCCACTTACTTTGACTCTGAGAACTGTCATTGTGCTAGTCTTTTCAGGGGGTTTCTGGGGGGGCTCCCCCATCTGCTGTTTTGAGTGCTCTGAGGTCTGCTTGGTGTAGTCAGATAGCTTTGGAAGGACCTTGCTGAGACATTTCTCAGAAAAGTTGGCCAATGGACGTCCTTGTGGGCACATCTTTCCCTGCAGGAGCACGGTAGCACAACTGAGTGTCTAATCTAGTTGGATTCAACCTGTTTTTGCAGAAAATGCCCATGAACAATGGTTCCTAGCTCCAGGGTTGTGAAATTGAGCTAAGAGGAAAGCAACTTCCTGCTATAAACCACAGCTCCCAACAGAGTTGCCTTTGGCTCATGTTCAAGAGGCTGCAGAGAGTGTCCAGGATAGTGTCCTTCCTTGCATACTGGGACTCCTTGGAAAGGCACCTGTCTGCTGTGGCAATCCCAGTCTCCATGTGCATCTCCAAAGAAAAACGGCTGATAGAGAGGGAATCATCCAGGGAGACTAAGTGCAAATGCTTCCTAAATATTGGTGACTTGGCGGGGTGCTCTTGATGAAAATATAAATTTTCCTTCTTAGGCTTTGGTGTGTTTGCCTCACAGAGACATTGAAAGACCATTATGATGGATAGCTGGTGTGAGGGAGGACCTTTTTATGAGATGCCATAAAGTGTCCTGTTAAAAAAAGGGTATTGCATTCTGGTTGCGGGCTGTTGGCTGGAGTCTTTTAATGTGGGTTTCTGGAAGGGGCGATTCCTTCATTTTTAAAGAGTTGCACATGTGACAGTGGACTGGGTAGGCGGGCTGATAACTCTGTGAAGCTCTTCAGTTTGCCTTCGGGACAATATGCTGCTTTGAATGGATGATGGGAGGAAGGACTAAGAAGAAGCAGATAACTGACTACCTTGCTGTTTATAAGCAGTACTGGAGGGGATAAGAGGATTATACAAAAACTACATGTTTAAATGAACATCTTTTATTTGGATTTAAATATATATATGTATATAAATTTTCAGCTTAGTTTCTCCTTATTAAATTTTGGTTTGGACAGCAAAGTTAAATAAATATTTGAATTTCATTGTTTTAGCCAATCTCCGCTATGAAGGAAGGGGACACTACACCAAAAACACACTAGAATGGGGTTGTATCGACCAACCTTATTCTGGGATTTAAACTTCACAGTAGATCAGCCAGCCCTGAACAGTTGAGAGTTGACTGGTTGGTGTTTCTACACACAGGTTGGTCACCTGCTCGGCCTTGTGACTGGTGTTGAATGGAGGTCGCCGCTCCGTCGCCCAGGATGTAATTTAGGTTGCCTAGAAAGTGTGTGAGAGTAGAACATAGAAAATGTTCCTGTGAGCCTCTTCAGCTCTCAGATGCATTTTTCTCCAAAAGTTTTGTTTGTTAGCCTCCTCTTTTAATGGCATTTTTGCCAATGGAAATTTCTCTTGGAGCGATTATGCAATGATAGCAGCTGTTTATAACCTGGTTTGGGAAATTAATGAACTTGCATGATCTTGTGGTCAGTTAAGAACGCATTAAGCAACTCATAGACTTAAAGATTTCTGACATTGCTGTGGACCTTAATAACTCTTTCATCAACTCCTTTCTTTTTTTTTTATTACCCACACTTCCCCAGTGAAGTATAAATTTCAAGTACAAAATTGTACTTGGAGAGAATAAATAGTATGGATTTCTGTTGAGAAGAGTGATAGTGTTGTGTTGTTTTTTTTAATCTCCTGGAAAAAAATATCTCATAACTTATTTCTCTATTTGAAGAGACAAGACATAGGGGTAGTATGTGCATTTCATTTTAGAATAGTATTTGGAAAAAATGCTAAAAAATAACACTTTAGTTCCAAGGTCAAGGGAGGTCGATCTGCTCTTGGTCTAGTGGAATTTTTTTCTTATGACCAAAATATTTTGCCAAGTTGGGCCTTTGGAAATTATCTCATTGGCTTGAGTTGGATTAGGGAGTTGAGCCTGACATGGCTCCAATTTCTTCATTTATTCATTCGGTCTAGTAGATCAGCCAGAAGCCCCACAATAACATGTGTGATTCTCAGCTTTTCAATTTCTGGCTCTGGGATTCTTGAGGTCCCAAGCACAGCTGTCTCCCTCTGACAGGCATGAGAAGCACATGACTTCTAGTCTCTGTGTAAGGCACCATACAACAAGACAGCACAGAGCAGTGGCACTTAAATGGCAGCCTGTACTACCCTCCGCCCCAGAGCAGACCCACAAGCTTCCATTCCCCCAGCCTCTCCTTTCTTCCATGCCTCCTGCGGGTCTGGTGAGCAATCTGTCCTCACGAAGAGGGTTTTTACAGTTGTCTTTTCCCAACCCCTCCTCCCCTGCCCTCTTCCCACCTCCTCCTTTACCTCCAGGTAAACTCGGGGGCCAGGACTCTTTTGAGAGCATAGAGAGCTACGATAGTTGTGACCGCCTCACCCAGTCCTGGAGCAGCCAGTCATCTTTCAACAGCCTGCAGCGCGTCCCCTCCTATGACAGCTTCGACTCCGAGGACTATCCAGCCGCCCTGCCCAACCACAATCCCAAGGGCACCTTCAAGGACTATGTGCGTGACCGTGCTGACCTCAACAAGGACAAGCCTGTCATTCCTGCTGCTGCCCTGGCTGGCTACACAGGTAGGCGCCCGCCCCTACCTCAGAGCCTCTGCGTGCATGTGGCTGTGGGTGGGCTCCGCGGAAGGCCCCGCACACGTATTCCTAAAGACTGATGTCTACCTTCCTGTGGGGCGTGGGGAGAGGAAGACTCTAAGAGGTCTGGTCAGTCTCTCGAGCCACTCTGTTTCTGAAGTGCCCTTGATGGTTGGAAGCAAACAGTAGCATTCTATCCCAAGGGATCATTTCCAAAAGTGGTAGGAAAAACTTATATTTGGGGCCTTTTCCCACATCTGAGGGAAGGGAGCTATGTTAACTTGGCATTTCTGAGAACTTTGCCTGGTGGCTGAGCATCAAGGGACTTTTTCTCGCCTGCTCTCAGGAAGCCTTTCTAAACACAAAGCCAGCAGCAGCATCTCTTGAAGGCATCACTGAATGGCTCACATCCCAGACTCCTCTGTAGTGGAGCATTCATCAGGTGGCTGTTCGAATCGGAAATGTGCCCTAACCTCGATCAGATCCTGGCCTGTCTAGGAAACCTCTCTCCTCACTTGGCTTTAGTACTGATTGTCTTCCTGTGAAAGTTATAGTAGTGGTGAATGAAGAAAAGCTGTTGAGAAAGGGAGATGTATGTTGAGAACTGGAGCTTTGATCGAGCATCTGTTAATAGAGCAAAACAATTTATTATCTGCTGCCTGACCCTGGAAATGTTTGAAGTGTATACGGGAGAAATATCCAAGGAGCATTATAGTGTTAATGATCAGACCCTTTCTGTAAGAGTGTAGTGTTCTCTAAAGATTGTGTTGTGCATGTAGCTTACTTTCGTTGATCATTCATCTGTGGTCTAGGCCTCGATTCTCTTGTAAGTTACTCCATGCTGGACAGGTTGCCGTGTGGGGGACCCTTTGTGTGGATGAAGATAAACAGCAAAGTCTGTTTCTATGGAGGTATCTGATCTGATCTGAAGAGTGTGCTACGTCTTTATTCTTATCTCAGTGAAGTCTTGGTGTTTACTAGAGAAGCTAGCTGACTTTTGAGAACACATCCAATGCTTAGAAAAAGTGCTCCTTTTCTGAAGATTGGGAAAGTGTCTTATATGCTGCAGTCCACGTGTCTCTCAGTGCAGTTCAGAGCGTGCACAGTGGCTCTGGATTTATGCCTGTGTTTTCAGGCAGTGATAAGGTCTGTAAATAGAGTCGTGGGCCAGAAAGGAGCTTAAGGTCCCCCCCTCTGTTCTTTCTACACTGACCTCCGTGGTCCTTTCTTGAAGGTCACTAGTGTGTGGGAACTTGCTACTTTGGAAGTTCCCTTTTCCATCTCTGGAAAGCAGATTGTTAGAAAGCTTGCCCATTTCTGTTAATTACATCTGGAAAGAGGAAGAGTAAATGAAGTCTCTTTCAAGTCTGAAAGTTTTGGCCTCTTTTGTGACGAGTCCAGTTGTAGGTGTTTTAAGAACTCGACTCCGGTTGGATACACTGATGGCAGAGAGAGGCGCTGCTTCATCAGGAAAGTGAAGGGACGGCCGAGGTGGCGGAAAGATGACCCTGTGGGCTCTGGAGGTGGCAGGCATCTCTGCCCGGCCATGCTGGCTTCTGTTCTTGGGGTGCAGGCCAAACTACGCTCTGTCACTTGCCCAAGCCTAAAGGCCAAGTCTTCTACAACTTCGGCCCGCACTTCCAGTACCACATCCTCAGCTTCGTTTTTCCTCATTGTTTCTTTGTTTTCTCTGCATAATCACCACTATAACCACCATCCACATCCACAACCGCAATTCTCTACCCATGACAGTTTTTATTGTTCTGTCTTGGCTACGTATATAATTCTGTATATTTTGCAGGTTAGGCCAGTTTTGTGGATAATGAGAGTCAATAAACTGACTCTGAGTCCCAAAGTTTGGGTTATGGCCAAAGAAAGCCTTACGATTTAGGTCCGCCTTCCTGGGATGGGATTCTGGCAAGCCTCCGCGGTGACACTGCCCAAGGTCTAGGTTTCCACCTCAAGCGCAAGCCTGATTTCCACCTCAAGTAGAAACTTCTCCGGGAGTGTTGCCTGTGTTAGCTATTGGATTTTCTGCATGGGAGGAGCCTGCAGAGCTAATGGGTCTACAAAAGTGACTTGAAGCGTTTTGTCTAAGATGATTTTAGTATCTTGACAGGAATTATCTGAGAGTTGGGGGATCTTTCCAAGTGTCCCAGTTTTAAGGAGAGAAGGAAAGAGATGAAAGAAATTTTAAGGACTAGGAATGAGTGTGAAATACAAATTAGGCACACGAACAGTGGAGACAGCCAACACCAAAAGCTACCCATGAGGCTTTTCTGGCAATCCAAACTTGGGGGCAAACAGATAAAAGCATCAAAAGTTCTCCTAGCACAAATACAAATATGTTCTGGAAGCCTGAGTTATGTTTGATCCCTTATCTGGATATGTTGTTTTTAATGCCCCTTCCTTCTTTGCTCCCTCCCTCCCTCCCTCCCTTCCTCCCTCCCTCCCTCCCTTCCTTACTTCTTTCTCTCCCTCCCTCCCCCGCCTCCCCAAGTAAAACATGCAGTTAGTGGAAGGAAAGGGGAGACCTCAAAGACTAAAGTAGTCGTTTGAATTAAGGTGGGGGGGGGACACATTTTTAGGGATCTTACCATTTGGTTGTTTCTTCTTTATAATTGTACATTTAACTTTTCACATGATCTCAGATCATGGTGAGAACAATAGCCCAGAAAACAGAAGTCCTCCGTGCTCCCTCCCAACTCTTAACACACTGTGTGATTTTAGGCAAATTTACTTTGTACCCTTTTCTACTTTTAGCAAAGTAGAAGTGTTCATCCTTATCTTGGTGGTAGAAGATCTGTGAAAATGTAATTCAACTAAATCAATTAATTAAACCAATAAGTGCTAGACATTGTGCTAGATGTAAAGGGGCAAAAACTCAATTGTAACAAATCAATTATCTCAGCAAATGTTTCCCAGCACATGTTGAGTGCAGATAAATGCTCGAAGCTTTTGAGGGTGCAGTATCTTGTCAAATTCAATATGTTATAATTGTTTTTAGACTTGAATTGCACTTTTTTGTTGCCGTGGTTTGAATGTAGGTCAGGATTTGCCAGGCAGGTGGGGGGCAGCCCACATTTAGACAGCTTTTTCCCCTGCTCAATGCCTGGTGGAAGTCTCCTGCCCACACTGCCAGCTGATTTTAGGTGGTGCTTCCTTGCTCTGTACCTTCGCCGTGGCCTCTTCACGTTTCAGAGACACATTCAGGTACATTTCAGATACAGTTCAGCCCTCGCCGCTGCCCAAAGAGCAGGCGGTGACTGCAACACAAACGGGTCTCTGGCTTTATGCGGTCGTTTAAGATGAGCTCAAGTTTGAAAAAGTACTTCGGAAGTTGGAAGCCATTGTGTAAGTGCTGGCAAAGCTTTTTATTGCTCGTGAAAGTCACACCTATCTTTTATCTCAAGTCCTGCCTTCCTTTTTTGTTTTTTCCCCTAAAATTTTCAATCGCTCCAGAGTATGGGTGGCCACACAGTAGGAGCACTTGTACCCTGATATCGCCACCGCTTGGCCTGAACGACAGGGCGGCTGCGGAGATGCTCTGAGCTGGGAGCAGAACCCACTTTCCTGCTGTGCCACTAGGAGTCTAGGTCTTCATCTTGCTCGCCTCCAAAGAAATGCATTTTATTTCTTCATATGATGCCTCAGTTACTGCACTGTAAGTGTGGAAATCGGTTAGAAACTGAATTTTCACATTTTCTTGCACAGTTACATTCTTCCTCCACAGATAAGAAAATTGCATCAACCTTCACTGGGCTCCCATGGCAACTTGTTAAATTAGGTCAAGATGTGGGGGCAGATAACATGGTTTGAAAGCCTGCTTGTTAGCTGAGTTAAGAATACATCAAATGCAGCACTGGCTTCCGCCAAAATGTACCTTCTTACCTTACTGTGAACTGCTTATGTTTATCAAACTGATACAATCAGCTCTATTTTCTCTTGTTCGAAGATGCACTCTGAACACCATCTAATTAAGAAAACAATCTGAAGCAAGTGGCCCAATGATTTGACAGACCTAAGCAAAATGCTTTCCGGATCCTTGAAAAACACAGGTGCCTCTGATTTCTTTCAGGTTCAGTAGATACACAATCATATAGTAGGTTGTCAAATAGTAGTCTCTCTTTGTCTCTGCCCCAGCAGCCCCAGTTCATAGATGGTGGAACTGAGGCATAAAACATGACTTTTTCAAGGCAACCTAATTGCAGCCTGCACAGAAGGTAGCTCCTACATTGAACCTCAAGTGCCAGATGTCTCACCTGCGTACAGATTTTTTCTCCATATCAAGGAATGAAAATACTCATTGGATATTATCTCAGTTACCACCTTAGAGCAGATTAGGGGCCTTGTCTCCCGCCGGTCACTAATTAACACTGCACCTATGTGAGTTAGCAAGAGGGAGGAGGGGCAGGGCCAGCCTTCGGCTTCAGTCCAGAGTTACTGGTCTGTACATCACCCTCATTCCGGACTGCCAGGCACTTCCGCCGATAAGGAGGCCGTCCTTGCCGCGGCTATGCTGGTTATCGAGCCGACCTGGTGGGAACGCTCCTGTTGTCAATATCCAGGTGTGTCCCCACCCTCGGCGTTCCACTTGCGAACAAAGTGGTTAGGGTCCCCTTTTCGTCCTGGAGCCTGCAGAGAGCTAGGCCCAAAGCCATTCAGGAACTGTAATGGAAGGGTATGTTATAGTGTCATGTGGATTTGTGACTAGGCGGATTTCCCTGAAGCCTAAACTGGGGACAAACTGGAATTCAGCTTGCAAATATTTTGACACGAGTCAGAGAAAAGATACCAGTGTTGTAGAGAAAGGAGCCCCATACGTCCCCCGTCAGGCGCTCCCACATTGCTCCCGGCCTGTGGCACCAGAGCTGCCCTGGAGTCCCACCATAAGAAAGTCCCCACAAGCCCAGAACCTGGGTGTTCTGTCTCATTGTTGAGTTTTAGGAATCAGTAACCCAAAGCTGCTGCTAGAACATGTTCTTGAA